ACACTGAGGGTTGCAATCCCGTTACCGGTCAGTAAAAAAAGACAAAAAGGAAAAAAAAAATGTTCAAGGCATCAAAGGTGGAAATTGCCACAATGTCCATGAACAGGTGAGGGTAAACAAAGCAAGTTGTGTACACACAGGGAGTTATTATTCAGCCTTAAAAAAGAAGGACATTCTGACATGTGATATAGCATGGATGAACCTTGAGGACACCATGCTCAGTGAGAGAAGGCAGACAGTAAAGGACAAATATGGTATCATTCCACGTATGGGGACCCAGGACAGGCAAATTCATAGGGATGGAAGGTAGAATAACAGTCTTCAGGGGCTGGGGGAGGGGAGTTACTGTGAATGGACTGAATTGTATACTCAAAAATGGTTGACATGGTAAACTTTATGTTATGTTTATTTTAACACAATAAAAAAGAATCACATCTGATATCACCATGAAAAACTAAATACTCACGTATAAGCCTAAAAACAATTCAAGGAATTAAAGACAAGATTAATGATTTTCACACAGAACTGGAAACTATAAAACAGAATCAAATGGAAATTCTAGAAGTGAAAAATATAATAACTGAAATGAAGAACTCAATGAATGGATTTAACAGCAGATTACACACAGTTCAAGGGAGAAATTGTAAATCATAAGATGGGTCAGAAGAAAATATTCATTGAGTCATAAAGATTCAAAAGAGGGCTGGCTCATGGCTCACTGGGAGAGTGTGGTGCTGACAACACCAAGTCAAGGGTTCGGATCCCTATATACAGAGGCCGGTTAGCTCACTGGGTGAGCGTGGTGCTGACAACACCAAGTCAAGGGTTCGGATCCCTATATACAGAGGCCGGTTAGCTCACTGGGTGAGCGTGGTGCTGACAACACCAAGTCAAGGGTTCGGATCCCTATATACAGAGGCCGGTTAGCTCACTGGGTGAGCGTGGTGCTGACAACACCAAGTCAAGGGTTCGGATCCCTATATACAGAGGCCGGTTAGCTCACTGGGTGAGCGTGGTGCTGACAACACCAAGTCAAGGGTTCGGATCCCTATATACAGAGGCCGGTTAGCTCACTGGGTGAGCGTGGTGCTGACAACACCAAGTCAAGGGTTCGGATCCCTATATACAGAGGCCGGTTAGCTCACTGGGTGAGCGTGGTGCTGACAACACCAAGTCAAGGGTTCGGATCCCTATATACAGAGGCCGGTTAGCTCACTGGGTGAGCGTGGTGCGGACAACACCAAGTCAAGAGTTAAGATCGCCTTACCGGTCATCTTTAAAAAAAAAAGATAAAGCTTCAAAAGGATGGAACATGTAAAATATTCTTTCACAAAATTTATAAAGGAGCTTAGGAAACGCATGGAATCGGGCACAAAGGACAATTTGTAATTCAAGCCCCAGAAAGAGAGGAGGAGATGGGACAGAGCACTGTGTAGAGAGATAATCGTTTGGCATTTTCTAGAACTGATGATGGACATGAAGCCTCAGATTCAAGAAGAATGATAAACCCTAAGCATAAATCAAAAGAAAGCCATTCCTGCATTGCTGAAAATCCAAGGCAAAGGAAAAAAATCTTTTACACCAGCCTGAGGAGAAAAGACACATTACAAACTTCAAAGGTGCAACCACAAGACAGAGAACTGACTCTTCCACCCTTTGAGTGGTTGTGACAGAGAACATGTATTTACTCTTCGCTCCTTGACAGTGTCTGCTGGCCCATAAGTTTGGAAAAAAAGAATGGCATGAATAAAAGAGAGTAAAATTAAGGAAATAAAAAAGGTTAGAGTAGAAACTAAAGAACAAAAACAAACATGTGATAGAGAGCATCAAGGAAGCTGAAAGTGAGTGCTTTGAAAGGACTGATTCAACAGACGCCACGGAGGTGGCAGTAACTAATAACTAACATCAGCAACGAGAAGGGAACCGCAGCACAGATGCCTCAGCCAAAAGGCAGGAAGCAACTGCCAACAGCTTCATGCCGGGAGCAGGAAAATTCAGATAAAACAGGCACATTCCCAGAAAAATATAATCTACCAAAGCTGACACAAGAAACAGATAATCCCGGGCCGACCCCGTGGTGCACTCGGGAGAGTGCGGTGCTGGGAGCGCAGCGACGCTCCCGCCGCGGGTTCAGATCCTATATAGGGATGACCGGTGCGCTCACTGGCTGAGCGCGGTGTGGGCGACACCACACCAAGGGGTGCGATCCCCTTACTGGTCACAAAAAAGACACACGCACACACACACACACACACACACACACACAAAAAAAAGAAAACGAAACAGATAATCTGAATAGTAGGGCAACTATTAAAGAAATTGATTCTCTAACTTTTAAATCCCCACAAAGAAAATCTCATGTCCAGATGGTTTCACCAGTGAATTTTACTAAACATAAGCAAGAAGTAATACAAATTTTACAGATAGCTTTGCACAGAAGAGAACGCCAGCACACGGCAGAGATGTTTCGACAAAGGACAGCTTCAATCCAAGCCCACTCGGATCCGAGCTGAACCTAGCAACATGCAAACAGGACCACACACCATGACCAAATGGGCCTATCCCAAGAACACAATGCTAGTTTTTATTTGAAAATCAATGTAATTCACACACTAACAGAATAAATCTCAATAGATTCATAAAAACAACCATTCATGATAAAAATTTAGCAAACTAAGAACAGAAGGGAACTTCTTCAGTCTGGTCAAGGGCATCTACAAAAAGCCTACAGCCGAGATCAGACCTAGTGATGATTCCACACGCTTTCCCCTAAGCCTGGGAACGAGGCCAGGGAGCCCACTCTCACCACTTCTATCCGACGTTGTATTGAAGGTTCTAACCAGCACAGTAAGGCAAGGAAAAAAACCCCAAAGGCATGTATGTACATTGGATAGAAAGAGAAAATACCGTTTTCTTCTCAGAAAACATAACTACGTACATAGAAAATCCAAAAGAATCTACAAAAAAGCTACTAGCATAAGTGAATTTAATTTAGCAAGGTTGTGAGATATAAGAGCAATCTATAAATATCAACTCTATTTCGATATACTTGCAAAAAACAAGTTGAAAATGAAATCTGAAAGATGCCATATACAGCAGTTTTAAAAGGCCCCTAAAATACTTATAAATATACTTAACAAAAGATGTGCCAGACCTCTGCACTGCAGACAACAAACCACTGCTGAGAAGAACTAAAGACACGGGGAAGTCTGCCACGACCCCGGGTGCAAGGCCTGACATTCTTGAGACCTCATTTCTCCCCAGATGAGCTGCAGGTGCAATCTATTCCCCATCAAAATCTCAGTAGGCTTTTTCTTTTTGGAGACACTGACAAGCTGATTCTAAAATTTATATGGAAATACAAAGGACCTACGATAGCCAAAACAATTTTGAAAAAAAGACTGAAGGAATTACATTACTTGAGTCAAGACTCACTGTAAAGCTACACTGATGCAGACAGTGCAGTCCTGTCATTCAGGATAAAGCACACACAGACGAAACAACAGAGTCCGAAAGCAAACTGGCGGTTCTGCAGTCACTTGATTTTTGACACAGGTGCCACAGCAATTCAGTAGGGAAGGGAAGGTCTTCACGAATGGTGCTGGAGCATTGAAACAACAGAGTCCGAAAGCAAACTGGCGGTTCTGCAGTCACTTGATTTTCGACACAGGTGCCACAGCAATTCAGTAGGGAAGGGAAGGTCTTCACGAATGGTGCTGGAGCATCTAGACAGCCAGGTGGGAAAAAACAAACTCCCACCTCACGCCGTTCACAAAAAATTAATTTGAGATGGATCATAGACCTCAATGTGATAGAATCATTAAGCCTCTGGAAGAAAATATAGAATACCTTTGTGCCCTTGAGATAGGCAAGTGCTTTTAGAATACCAGAACTAACAACCATAAACACTTGGAAAATCATACTTCATCAAAATCAAAAGTGGTCCCTCCAAAGATGCCACTAAGAAAATGAAAAGCCAAAGGCTGAGAGACAATATTATTAATAACTATATCTGGCAAAAGACTTTTGTATTCAGAATATACAAAAACTCCTCCCACTCAGTAACAGAGGATGAACAACTTAAAAATAGGAAAGAACTCCAGTAGGCTCTTCACAAAAGAAGACAGGCACATGGCCAACAAGCACATGGGGGAGAACCGGTGTCACCGGTCATCAGGGAGAAGCAAATCAGAATCACAACGAGACACCACTGCAGGCCCACGAGAATGGCTTGCATCGAAAGCACTGACCATGCCAGGGGCTGGCAGAGTGTGGCAGCTGAAACTTTCGTACACTGCAGGCAGGGGTGTAAAGGGTACAACTGCCTCATGACCAGGTAAGTCCATGCCTAGGTATCTGCCCAAGAAGAAAGAAAACATATGTCCACAAAAAGATTTGTACAGAATGGCTTAACAGTTTTGTTCTTTGTCACCTCTCCCCCAGGGTGACAGAGATGCAAAAGATTACTCAAATCCCATTTCTCCTGAGCAGTGAGAGGCCCGAAAAGATTAATTCCAGACAAATCCTTCAAGGGAGAAGAATCCTTGGAAATTAACCTTGAATCAGGGTTGTCTCTCAGTATTTATTGTCCAGGCAAGAAAGTTACAGAAAAGGAAGACAGGTGGTTACAAAAAGAACAGTTAGATATTCGTCATGGCAACACTTGGTTCCCCAAGCAACTTAAACAAGTGAAGACTTTCCCATCACTAGGTTTAGCTGCACCAAGGGCATCTGCCCTATGAGCCAACATTTTTGCTGTGTTACAATTTTTTTTATCTACAACAGAGACTTTAGCCCTGGGAAAGTGTTCTGTCTTTCCCAAGCTTAATATTTTTATGTACAATTCTAAAAAGTTAGGCCCCGTAACATACATTTGTTTTATTAATGTTGGTACCCTACACAGTTCTTAATAACCAAAGACAGAAGACACCCAAATGCCCGTTGAGAGGAAGAGGGTGGATGAAGTGTGGCGCACAGTGAGCATCACCGAGCAGGCCACCAGGGACGCAGTCAAGAGCACAGACGTGCCTCAGACATGCCACGCTGAGTAACCAAAGCCAGACACAGACGAGCACACAGTGGAACACATGAGTGAGCAAATGAACAAGAGGTACCTGCACTGTTATTTTCAGAGAAGCAGAGTGTTTCGTCAGTGAGACAGAGAGAATGCTGTGGGAAAAAGCACTCAGACATCAGAAATATTTTCGCAGAAAATATTAGTTGGAAGATATGTTTGAAAAAAATCTCCCAGAAAGTAGAAAAAAAGGCAGAGATGAAGAATATGGGAGAGAAAAGATGTGGGAATTAGAGGATTCATGTAGGATGCCCCATATCTAACTATCGGAAGTTCCAGGAACAGCAAACAGAGAAAAGAGAGAAGGAAACATTATTTAAAAAAGTAAAAATTTCCCAAAGTTGAAGTTTATGAATTTCCAAATGTGAAATGGCCCACAGGGAGTCCAGTGTAATGAATGAAAAAAGAACCACACCCTGGCAAACCATTATGTACTTTCAGAATACCAAGAATTAAGATAATCTCTTATAAGATTCCAGAGGAAAAAACATGCCTCATAAATAAAAATAGCACTAAACTTCTCAATAGAAACACTAAAAGCTATAAAAATGGTAGAACCATACCTTAAAAATCCTTAGGGAAAATTATTTCCATCGAGAATTCTATACCCAGTCAAACTATCATCCAAGTATGAGAATAAAATGAGGACATTTTCTGATGTGCATAGTCTTAAAATTTTTACCTCCCATGCATCTTCTCTTAAGGAAATTTCTAGAGAATGTATCCACCAAAGTGAGGACCATATCAAGAAAGATGAAGACATGGAATGTAGAAAACTGAGTTGAACACAGCAGGGAAAGAAAGGTAGCTCCCAGGATGACGGGTAAGGAATATTCCAGGGCAACACCCCAGCAGCATGCTAGAAAGAGCAAGCAGAGATAAGGGTAGGCTGCAGGGCTTCAGGCAGGACGACTCCTGAGCAAAATCAAACAGAGATGACCTGGCATGCCTGGACATACTGAGAGGAGGCTGATGCTTCCAGCAGAGTGTCTGTGGGCGAATTTATGATGCCCAGAAAACAGCACGTGGCAAATGCAACAATGTTAACTCCAAGGAAGGAAATGTGACCACAGTGTATAGCACAGCAGGACTCATCTCCAAGCAAGACTCACACTGCCCGGAGAACGTGCACCGTGAGCGCTGGCTGGACAACTGACTGAAGCACAGTGGGATTATGAGTGGGAAAGAGGGGGACAGATCCACAGACAGACTCTGACCCACTACGTGTGGTTGGAGGGGATTAAGAAATCAATAATCTAAAACCGGGAAAAAAAATTAGTAGAATGGGAATATTATTTAGCAGAGAGCCAAAAAACAGTTGGGAGTGCCTATTTCTGGGATTTCTCTGGATTTGGGGCTGGGAGGGATGGGCAGACGACTGCTGTTTTGTGATATGTGCCTTATAGAACCATATGGCTTCTATCTACTACCTTGATTAAAACTATATTTTCATTTAAAATGCTGCTGATCTGGCCTGCAAACTCGGTCTGAGTCTGGGCCCACTGCTGCAAGCCACCCCACTGTCTCAGACCCACAGGAAGAACCAGGGTCTTCTCCCCCAGCCTGGCAACCTTGTGCAAATCATCTAATTCTTCTAGGCCAGTGTCTTCTGCTTTCAAGTAGAAGTGTGGCACAAGATGAGCATCACAGTCCTTAGACTCGGGGCTGCTAAGATGCCACACGCACAGGTCAAGCCCAGGCCAAGCAGGACCGGTGCTGTGAGGTGGGAGGGATCCAGGGAGAGGCCAGCAGGCAGCTCAGCAGGGACCTGCCCAGGCCCCAAGGGACACGAAGGCCTGGCAGATGCAGGAAGCTCTGCCCCACACCGTCATACACATGTGGTTCACCCCTCAGGACGCTCTCGGACTCCCCTTCTGTCCCAAGTGTACATTTCTCTTTAACAAAAACTAAGCACAGGAGAAGGGTGGTGGGTGTGAGGGGACACCTCAGGGAAGAAGTCCTGTGGGTTAAAAGTCCTTTCAGTAACTCACCAGCCCAAAGAAGTAAAGAATGCCTCACTAGTTCCTGAGCGGGTCAGGTCATCACTCTATAAGATGTGTGTTAAAATAGACAGAAGCTCACCAGCAGCCCACTGGAGAGACTGGCAAAGGACAAGAACAGTTTTCAGCGGCTGAGACACAAACGAGCACTTCTAAGCAGGGACGATCAGGACAAACACATTTTCTTCTGCTAAACTGACATTACTAAAACTGTGGCGGTTCTGGGCAAGAGGCCATGCCCTTGGCCCATCTATGGCGACTCTCCCAAGGACATGTCAGAGGTCGGGTCTGGGGCCACCGTCACTATACACACATGGGTGAGAGCGGCAGGTGGAAGGGGGCACTGACCTGGTTCCCCCTCCCCCAAGCACCAAGGCGATGGCATTGCCCGTCAGCACCCGTGCCAGGCGGGAGAAGTCCGAGTGCCGGTCCGGGGGCCGCTGGAAGACGCGCGTGTACATCTCCACCTGTGAGAGGAGCCAGCAGATGGCAGGGGCCGGTGCAGGACCCCACCCCCAAGGCTGAGTATCTGCTTTTCCTAACTTAGAGTCCTCTCCAGGACACGGCAGGGTCTGTCAGCACCCCGTGCCCAGGCGGGGCCCCAAGGGCAGCCCCAGCTAAGCTGCAGAGAGGGCGTCGGCAGAGGACACAGGTGTGTGAGCAGGCCCAGTGTGAGCGGCCAGGCCACCAGAGACCATAGAGCCCCTCAGAGCTGTCCCCAACAGATCCCCCAAGCCCCGATGGCCCCTGTGGCAGATGTGCCCTCAGGGGCTCAGGCTCCAGGGCAGAAATGCAGCCCTCAGGACACAGTCCACTGAGCAGGGGGGCCCAGTTGGGCCGCAGCATGTGGGCAGCCTCTGCACTCTCCCTCCACCCGTCCCCCAGGCTCCAGGGTACCTGCAGGAGGTGCCTCAGGATGCGTGTCTGTTTCTGCCTGAAGGAAGAGGTGGTCTCAGCCAAGTGGCACTATGAGGTTAAATGGAGAACTCTCAGGCTCAGCCCCTGACACCCCCGTCTGGGGCTCACCAGCCCCTGGTGGCCTCTCTGTACAGTGCCTGCACCGTGCTGGGCCTCTTCCCACCCGCAAGGCACACCAGCATGTGTAGCCACGAGAATCCTGGAGAAGGTGGCCAGGATAACATGAGCTCACAGCCAACGTCCGTGAGCACACACAGAGGCAGGCCACCCTAATCGGAGCCCCAAAGAGCTCAGGTGTTCGCAAACCGGACAGAGAATATAAAGAACGTTTGGAGTGTTGAAGGAAGCGCGCAGAGGTCAGAAGAGAGCTGCGTTCTGGAGCCCAGGAATCTCACTGGGCCAGCCCACACCCTGTGCCAGGTCTCACCAGCTTGGGCAAGCTCCTTCTGGAGAAGACGCGGCGTGGGCAGCGGAGGTGCAGGTGGCCGGAGTATCAGCTCCTCATGTTAAGCCACTCCACGGTGCGGGACGGCGCGGGCCCCTCCTCCCTGTGCAGCAGGACCAGCTGCTTCTGGGCGCGCACGGCTGTGTTCTCCAGCATCCGCTCCAGCTGGGGGAAGGCAGAGCCCAGGCATTAGCCAGCTCAGGTGGCCGAGGTCCCTCACTGGATGCCTCCTTGCTGACCACCCCACACAGGACAGAAAGGTCTGAGGGCAGGGACCCTGCGAGCAGCTTCCTGGTTTGTATATCAGCTCGGCTGTGGCACAGCTGTCCTGGGGGGTCTGCCCAGCTATGTGTGCTGGGGGGGGGGCTGTGGGCTGGAAAAGACTCCCCCTCTGTTTCTCTAAAACTGCCTCGTCCACCATGCTGCAACCTTCTGCATTAGCGCCACTCCCTGCAGACTGGGAACACATCAGAGATGAGGAATTTCTCAGCTGCCCCAGCATGAGACAGCCCAGCACAAGCTTGAGATGAGACAGCGCACGTGCAGAGGAAGTTCAGGGAGTGCCCGCTGAGGGTGTGGGGAGACCCCATCCACACCCGTGAAGCTGGAGGCAGTGGACAGGGCGTGGAGCACGCAAAAACCACACAATTGCAATTTGGCGATGCCTGGGGGGACCCGAAGACCCAGCAGTCCTCTGACTGAGAATGAGTGAGCAGAAGGGAATACTCACATGTGGAGAGCTGCACAGCCGTGCCAATGAGTGTTGAGGAAAAAGGGAATTTCAAAATGACAGAAAAGAGGGCACTATCTACAGTCACATGTCCATAACGAGGCTTCGGTCGACAACGGGCTGCGCACATGACGGTGGCTGCACCACCAGCCCCGGTGTGTGGTAAGCTGCACCGCCTGGTGTGTCACCTACACTCAGTGATGTTTTGCACAGCGACAAAATTGTCTGATGATGCATTTCTCAGAAGGTATCCCGTCGTTAAGCATGATTATGTTTGAAATTACAACCCTCAAACAGTACTTTACACACACTGTAAAAGAGCGGAAGGTGGACCGAGGCTGTGCCTTCCCAGGAGGCCACCTGGGGGCAGTGGCACTTCGGGAACCTGCCTTGTGTTGTGCTAAAACCAGCAGAGGAAAACACAACAAAATGTTTTTACAGGGGCCTGCCTGGTGGCACACTGGAGAGTGCGCCGCTTGGGAGCACGGCAGTGCTCCCGCCGAGGGTTCGGATCCCATGTGGAGACCGGTTCCCGCTCACTGGCTGAGCGTGGTGCGGGCGCAACACAGAGGTTTGCGATCCCGTTGCCGGTCCCCGGTACGGGCGTGACACCGAGGGTTGCGATCAAGTTACCGGTCAGTAAAAAAAAAGACAAAAAGGAAAAAAAAATGTTTTTACAAAGGTAGCAGATGTCGGGGTGTCAGTTCCCCATATGTCCCTGGAATTTTCATTCAAAGGAAAAGAGAGAATCAGAGGACTCTGAAGAGAGAGGGGCTCCCATGTCCACCCTGTGCAGCCCCGGCGGGGCCCCGCTCACCTCGCCCACCAGAGGCTCCTGCTCGCCCAGGCCCACAATGAGGACACAGTCAGCCTGCCGGACGCAGCGCTGGGTCCAGGGCGTAAGCGTGCTGTCCGCCTGGTAGAGCACGACCCGGTGGATGTCCTCCTGCTGCCCCAGCCAGCTGCAGAGCCGGTACTCGTGGATGCTGCGAGCACAGAGGGGGCCTCACCCTCCAGGACGCCTCCCAGGGCCCACTCCTCAGAGAGCCCTGGCACCTTGACCAGCAGCTGGCCCCCTCTCAAAGAGGAAATAGAGGGTGAGGACCAGCTGTCGCCCCTTCCCCTCTGGCCCGTCCCTGGTTCTCGGGGATTCCTTCAGGGTCTGGGTGGTCAAGCAGAGGCTGCGACTGAGCCCGGAGGTTGGGGGCTCCATGGGGCGATCAGGAGAAGATGGAATGTGGGCTGTCAGTTGACAGGGAGCATCCTGAAGACCCCCTGGGACTCCTGACAATGCCCAAGAGGGCAAAGCTGCCAGGTGTATGTTGGGTGACAAGAGTGGACAAGGGACAGGTGGGCGTGCAGACACCACAGCAGATGCAATGGGGGCATTTCTACACAGGTGCTGGAGGCCAGCATACCTGTCCAGAGCAGCAGAGCCCAGGCGCTGCTTGACGTTGTCACTGGTCAGCAGCAGGACTGGGCCTGAAAACACAACCCCAGTTAGGGAAATCTGTCCTGGTAGCCCCCGCGGACACGCGAGGAAGCAAGCACGTTCACTCCCTGTCCCAGAGGTCTGCTTCCCCTGAAACTGCCACGAGCCCTTTGCATTTCCAGTGGGGAAGCGCCCGCAGCCCAAGCCTCTACTCCCTGCTCCCAAGACCCCCAGGCAGGAACCTCTCTGAACCTTGGTCTCCTCGTCAACATGCAGAGGAGTCGAATCTCTGTATCCCTAAAACTGTGTGTGTCGGGGGCAGGGGAAGCATGTGCGATAATGCAGTTTCCAAATCCAGATAAGTGAGGCCGGCTGGATTCCAACATGCTGTGGGTCACTGGTACCGAGATGCCCGTCTTTTCACCTTCCGTGTTGCACAGACACAGTTGTCAGGACCTGCTCAACCAGGAGAGCCAGCATCGGGATCCACGGAAAGGCCACCAAGGGTTTGGGAGAAAAGCTGAGGGGAGAGTGGTGCTCGTTCCCTGGCACCCGCAAGCCAGGGTGGAGGAGGAGCCGGAAGCCCAGTGCTGCGTGTGGGAAGCTGGAAGCACTGTGGCATTCCTGCGGGTTTACTGCTGCAGGTACAAGGAGGTCTAATCCTTCCAAAAGAGCTTTCTTGGGAGTATACAGTTAAAAGCCAAGACATGAGAGGTCACTGTACCAAATTTTAACTGGCAGCATGTGTTTCTCAGAGGCACAAAAGCAAGCGAGCATCTTGCAAGTGGAGTGTCCCAATGACACAGTGATCTGACCCGGCCCAGCTCGTAAGGCACTGAATGAGCACCAGGCAGGTGAAGCAGCTCCCTCGGGGGAGGCTCAGAGAGAAGGACACCGTCCCTGTCAGGACTACACTCCCAGTCTCACAGGTTGGAGCTAGAAGCTCAAGTCAGGGGCGACACAGAGGAGCCTTCTGGGTCACCCCTCGCAACCTGTGCCCCTCTCCTGTGAAGGCAGGCCTCCTGCATGGTATGCAACGTCTCCACCTCCAGGTGCCAGGAGGCCATCAAGACGAGACAGGCAGGCCGTGTCTGGCTGCTGCAAAATGGAGGTGCCGGCCCGAGGTCCATGGGGAGCCCCGGGCTGGGCTCCACCTGCCCCTTAGTGCAGTCTACTGCTCTAGGCCCCCCTGCCTGGATATGGGTGGTTCTGGGGGGCCGGCAACAGGGAAGTTCCAACGTGGTGATCTGGGCTCCAGCTCCTGCCTGCCAGTCAGACGCGCTAATCCCCCACTCCTGGGTAGAGACTGCTTCAGTCCCAGAAGTTCTCTGTACGGCAACAGGGAAGTTCCAACGTGGTGATCTGGGCTCCAGCTCCTGCCTGCCCGTCAGACGCGCTAATCCCCCACTCCTGGGTAGAGACTGCTTCAGTCCCAGAAGTTCTCTGTAGGGAGGCACAGAAGAGCAGGTGGTGGACAGGGCAGAGGGGAGACCTCTGTACCTCGCTAGAGTCCAGTCGTATAAGGGACAGCATGGCTGACCAGCACTACCTGCCTCCTACTCCAGCCTGGACAGTCACTGCCAGCCTGGCTGCCAAACAGCTTCCTTCCCAAATTCTGGAAGCCAGAGGGAAAGGGAATAACACCTTCAAAGTGCTAGAAGAGAATGCCTATCTGCCTAGAATCTCCACTCAGCACAGACACCCTCAGAAGTGAGGGTGACCTGCCAGAGAAGGCCACTCGACTTATGGCAACAGTGACGCTGCAGTACAGGGGGCAAAGTGTGGTCTTTTTTTTTACTGACCGGCAACGGGATCGCAACCCTCGGTGTTGTGCCCGCACCGCGCTCAGCCAGTGAGCGGGAACCGGTCTCCACATGGGATCCGAACCCTCGGCGGGAGCGCCGCCGCGCTCCCAAGCGGTGCACTCTCCAGTGCGCCACCGGGCCGGCCCCAACAAAGTGTGGTCTTCATCAACGCGAGTTCAACTAAATGTTACAGGATGGCCCTCCCCTTCCTGACTTGTAAAGTGCGGTCTTCATCAACGCGAGTTCAACTAAATGTTACAGGATGGCCCTCCCCTTCCTGACTTGTAGTTTTCAAGAATGACTGCAGAGCGTGCTGGGGACGCAGCCTCCTCAGACAGGGAGGGCCTGGCCGGAGGGACTGGCCAGACGGCCTGGGCTTTGTTCCAGTCCCCACTAGAAACAGGATGTTCTTCAAGGATTTCTGCCAGTGTGTCCGTTTCCCTGGGGTAAAAACCCAGGGGCCTGCTTTCTGGGGTCCCGAGCAGCTTTTCTGAGCCTTGGCAGACAGGCTGGCAATGAGCCCTAGGCTCCCGTGTGCCTTGCTGCCCCTCTGTAAGTGACAAACCCACTTCCGCTAACTGGTGGGTGCGAGTGTTCCTTCTCACTGGACACAGGCCAGTAGCGGGGGCGCAGCGAATGTGCTTTGCACATATTGCTATAGAAAAAATGAATCTTGACTCCTACCTTACACCATAAACAAAATACATCCCAAGTAGACTGTAATTTTAAAAGGAAAGATAAAACTATAATAAAGTTTTTAGAAGAACATCTTCATAATTTGGGAGAATGAAATTTCTTCAATAAAACACAACAGCAATACAACATAGGGAAAATTTGATAAATTGGTCTATATTAGAATTAAGAACTTCCGTTCATCAAAAGACAGCATTAAGAGAATGAAAAAGCAAACCATGCCCAGAAGTAGACCCACATAAGTATCGTCAACTGATCTTTGACACAGGAGCAAAGGTAACCCAGGGAGAAAAGAGTCTTTTCAACAGATGGGGCTGGAACAACTGGACGTCCACATGCAGACACAGACTTTCCACCCTTCACGAAAATTACCTCTAAGTGGATCACAGGCCTGAATGCAAAATGCAAAACTATAAAACTCCTAGAAGATAATACAGGAGAAAATGCAGACAACCTTGGGTTTGGTGATGACTTTGTAGATACAGCAACAAAAGCCAGATCCGTGGAAAAAATAACTGATAAACTGAACTTCTGTTAGATTAAACACCTCAGCTCTGCAAAAGACATTGTCAAGAGAATAAAAAGATAAGTCACAAACTAGGGGAAAATATTTGCAAAAAAGTTACTTCTGACAAAGTCCTATTATCCAAAATATACAAAGAACTCTTAAAACTCAACAATAAGAAAACAACCCAATTAAAAAATGGACCAAAGATCCGAAAAGTCACCTCATCAAAGAAGATATCCTGATGGAACATAAGCCTATGAAGGGATGCTCCACATCATGTGTCACTAGGAAAATGCAAATTAAAACAACACGATGCCACTTCGTACCTCATTAGAGTGCTTGACACCACCGAAGTGGACGAGGGTCCCAGGTAGCCACAAGGCCCTCGGCCGCCGCTGATGGCCCTGAAGTTAAACACCCGCTCGCCACACAATCCGGCAACCACGCTTCTTGGTACTTACACAAAGGAGCGGAAAACCCACGTGCACACAAAAGTCTGCACACAGACTTTGACACGAGCTTGCTTCAAACTTGGAAGCAGCCAAGGTGTCCTTCCACAGGTGAAGGGGCAGACACACCGTGCTGCATCCAGACCATGAAGGATTACTCAGCATGGAAACAAATGAGCTACCCAAGCCATGAAAAGACACAGAGGAAACCTGAACACCTATCACTACCTGAAAGAAGCCACGTGGAAGTGCGATTCCAGCTCTATGACGCTCTGGAAAAGGAAAAACTACGGAGACAGAGAAAAGAGCAATGGCTGCCAGGGGTTGGTGATGAACAGGCAGAGCACACGGAATCCTAGGGCAGGGAAAACATGATGCTCCGAGGGCCGGCCCGTGGCTCACTCGGGGGAGTGTGATGCTGACAACACCAAGTCAAGGGTTGAAGTCCCCTTACTGGTCACCTTTAGAAAAAACAAAACAAAACGAAACAAAAACAAACAAAAACCCCACAACACTCTGTATGATCCTGTCATGGTGGACACATGTCATTACATATTGTCCAAACTCAGAATGTACAGCAAGAGTGAACCCTAATGTGAACAGTGGACGCTGGTGACAATGATGTGTCAATGCAGATTCATCAATTGCAACAAATGTACCACTCTGGTGGGAGACGCTGACGGTGGGGGAGGCAGGGGAGGGGGCATACAGGAAACCCTGTACCTTCCTCTCAATTTTGCTCTATTCTAAAAAACAGTCTATTAAAAAAAAGAAAAAAAAATGTTTTGCCACACACACCAAAAAAACTCTCAATGGTAAGAAAACAACCCTCAATGAGAAAATAAGCAGACGATGTGACTAGACACTTCACAAAAAGAACAGACAGTGAATGAGTGCATGAAAAGACACAAAGCGCCCCACCACTAGGTGAGCCAAATTGAGACCGTGAGGTGCCACCACCACACACCCACTAGCACAGCTAGAACACAGAGGACAATGCCAGCGGCCTCAATGAGAAAATAAGCAGACGATGTGACTAGACACTTCACAAAAAGAACATACAGTGAATGAGTGCATGAAAAGACACAAAGCGCCCCACCACTAGGTGAGCCAAGTTGAGACCATGAGGTGCCACCACCACACACCCACTAGCACAGCTAGAACACAGAGGACAATGCCAGCGGCCAGCCGGGAGAGTGTGGGACGGTGCGGCCCCTGCAAACAGTTCTGAGGTTTCTTATAAAACCAACACTCTCTGACCACACTTATCACACTCCTGGCACTGGTCGCTGAGAGATGGAAACTTACGTGCACACAAAAGGCATCACACAAATAGCCACAGCAGCTTTACTTGTGACACACCACAACTGGGCACAGCCCACACACCCGCATGGGCTGAGCAGTGGAAGAAACTGTGACATCCACAGGACAGAGGCTCCTCTACAGCAAGAAGGAAGAAACCATCAGCATTCAGCATCGTTCCGAGTGAAGAAAGCCAGCATCAAAAGGCCACACACTGCACGGCTCCACTTTTATGGCTCTATTAGAATGACAAAATTACAGAGAAGGAGAACAGATCTGTGGCTGCCACAGAGCACGGGTGTCGGGGGCAAGTGCAAAGGGGCAGCTGGAGGGGCTCTCCACAGAGATCGAGCAGTTCTGCAGCCCAGCCGTGGTGCTGGCCAGAGACCTACACCTTGTCAGATGGCACACACACGTCCACACGCACGCACACATCCACACATGCATGCACACACACGTGCACACAGAGGAGGGCACATAAAAACTGGTGAAATCTGAAGTGGGACTACATATTGTACAAATGTACTTCCTGGTCTGGATATTGTCACTTAAGGCGTTCCTGTTGGGGACTCAGACGCAGGGCACGTGGGCTCTCTTCACTGTTGTGCAACTTCCTGTAATTCTACAATTATCTCAAAATGAGCCTTTTTAATAAAAAAGAGAATCACCTAATATGAAGCGACACATACATCTGCTGTGCACTTGAAGATGCTTTTGGTCATAATGAACGATCTGGCCAATTTCACTGGAAATGAATGCAAATTTTACACACAACTGGAACATTTGTTGAGAAACAAAATCAAGACTGTTAGATGTGGCAATTAATACATATGAGGTGTTTACAGTAGTATCTTCCAATTTTATAACTTTCTTTTGGCATTTAAGTTTTCTAATTTTCAAACAGGCAGAAAGCACTCTCGCGTGGTATTTAAACAGACACCTCTCTCATGGTGTGCTGTTCCAGGATAATTCCATAGTGCTTACTGCACTCGATACTGTATCGTTTCAGACACAACCCTGAAGCTTTGAGTACAACCCCCCACAGAAAACTGATTTACAGTCTATCATGTGATCACTCACAATTAGATGAAAACTTGCAAATAAAGTGTTAAGAAGAATACAGAATGCCTTACAATTTTAGGGATTCCCAAGCATTCTCAGGAGCCTCAATTTCTTGTTCTAGCATTCCAAAATTAGACAGTTGTCAAGAATTTGGAAATACTACATAAGCAACCTGACTGCAATGGAGGCATTTACATGCGTTGTGCTGGGTCCACTGGTCACCTACTGCAGAGTCCTCGCAGAGGAGTATGGCAGCTGCATCAGCCCACAACAGTGCAGAG